GCTTAGGGGGGGTTCAGGGTTTAGGGTTTAGGGTTTAGGGTTCAGGGTTTGGGGTCCGGGGCCTAGAGTGCAGCTGGGCTTTCGAACGCTGGGCCTACGAAACAGGGCCAAAATCTGGAGGGTTGCGGGGTCGCGGGCGTTAAGCTTTGGGGTATGCTGGGTTTAGGGTCGGTGGCGCGGGGGGAAACGGGGGGGGGGGGGGCGGGGCCGTACATAGGGTTTACAGGTTGGGGTTTGGTCTACGGTTTTCAGTTCAAAGGGCGCAGGGGTTACGCACATCCAACCAAACAATTTCGCGCAGCGTATCTGAAAATGATGGCTCCTGGAAACTGAGGCAAGAAAGGCAACTTCGAAGCCAAAACCCTAAACCTTAAACAGCCAAAGTACCTTAGCTACAGTGGCCCATATGGGACATGAACCCTTATCAACACTCAAAACCTTTTTCGGCTGTGGAAGGCCAGAAGTCCAAAATCTTACCTGCAACGCCATGCTCCGACTTTTGGGCGGCTTGTGCTCTCAAAGTTGCAAGCCCTGAACACCCACAAGCCCTGAACCCGTAAGAAGTAGGGTTATTTGTTCTGAGTACACCCAAAAGGACACCCAATATATACCCGCAGCAATATTCGCAAGGAAACATATTCTACACGCACACACTATGACCGAACATAACACGATATCATTGAGCACGGATGCCCCTTAACAAGTTCGAGCCGACTATCATGTACACTCACTCAGTGCAGGTTGACCCCTTGACAACCAATGAAAATGTACATAGATATAATCCTCTTCAAGCCAACAAGAGAAAGACGCAGCATATGCATCAGCAACACACAGCCCTGAGCATTAACACCCTAAACCCTACAACCCGAAAACCCGGACAAACCCTAAATCTCCGAAAAAAACTCTAAGAAAAAACCTAAAACCCCCCAAAAATACCTAACACCACCCAAAAACTTAAAACCCTAACGCCCTGAAATCCTAACACAATCCCCATAGAACTTCAGGTGCGTTTCGAGGTCCCCGCCGCCGCTTTGCGCCCTGGGCTGTGCCAAGCTTTACAGGGCTTCTTGGAGGGGCGCCGACAGTAGTACAAGATGGGTTTAGGGTACTTAGGGTTCAGGGTTCAGAGTTGTAGGGATACCCTCGGCCCTAAACCCCTGTGTGGGTTTTTGGCGACAAGAGTTCATGATGTGCTTCGCGGGTTTCGGTTGATTGTGGTTGCTTCCGAGTCTAGGTTACAGCATCGAGATTTGCGGTTCGTGAATGCAGGGCAAAAGGACTGGAGTTTGCTGCCTGTTCTTGGCGGAAAAGTTTGTTCGGAAGGAGAATTTTACGATTTGAATCATGCAGGTTGAAGCTCTGACACAGGTACAACTCAAGAGAACGACACAGGAGACACAAGGCATGACTTGAGGCCCTGCGACACGAGGCGAGACACGACTCGAAGGACGACATACGCAAGACACGGCAACACACACGGAGACACGCGACATGAGATTTTCTTCAAAAATTGCGACTTACGCCCCGACGCCCCTGATCCCTAAACCCTAAACCCTAAACCCAAAACCTTTGCCGTGATTTGCCGTGTGACTTTCCGCAAGTACCGGGCGCAGGCATTGCAGCATAAGGGAGAACATCCCAACTCCAAACCCCCCAACATCCGCCAACCCTTCAAACAAGACGTCTTCGCGAGGCATTCGGGAGCTACACTCGCACATGATCCCATCCGCATCCAGTCCCAATGAGAGTGCCTAAGTCTAGTCAGCGCATCATATTGAGGACTTGGAGGACATGTAACAGCAACAAACACTAATGACCATAGTCTCAGGCCGTGGCCGAGTTCTTCCGTGGTAGCCTGAAGTGACGTCTCGGCCTGCATGGGGGGTCGAGGGGTACAGCCTCACAGGGGTTTAGGGTTTAGAAGGGTTTAGGGTTGAGGGTCTAGCCAGTGCACCTGTCACCCTGGTGTACCCTTTACAAAAAACCACCAAGCCGGTAACAAAAACACACAAGCCTGTAAAGAGCCTGTGAGAGCTTGTAGAAACTACAAGCCCTAAACCCTGAACCCTAAGCCCCAAGCCCTAAACTCCCTAAACTCCCCAAACTCCCTAAACTCTCTAAACTCCCTAAATTCCCTAAACCCACCCAAAACCCTAAACCCTAAAAACCCTAAACCCTAAACCCCTCGACTCATGCGGCCCGCCTTTTGCATGCGCGCTTCCAGCAACTCGAGGTCGCGCTGCTTGGACAGCGTCTTGGTCACAGATTGCAGGCTTTCCACCTCAAGAAAAGGGATTTAGGGTTTAGGGTTTAGGGTTTAGGGTTTAGGGTTTAGGGTTTAGGGTTTGGGGCTTTAGAGTTTAGGGTTTAGGGTGTTTAGGGTTGAGGGATTTAGGGTTAGGGATTTTGGGCTTTTTGGGTTTTTAGGGCTTTTAGGGATGTTAGGGAGTTCGGGATTTCAGGTGGGGGTCCATGGCACCTTTCAGCACTCCCTCAAAGACCTTCAACTCTGCATTCTAAACGCGACCCTAAGATTGGGTCTCGAGCCCCCTCTGAGGGTTTAGGGTTTAGGGTTTAAGGTTTAGGGTTTAGGGGGTTTCAAAAGATGCCCAGGACACCTTCGTAAACATCCAAAATCCTTCCTCGTAACCGACAACAAAGAGGGGTAGGCCTTGTCAGAAAGTCCCGAAATCTCCGTGTTCAGTGCCTCGGCAGTGCGGAAAAGTAAAGCCGAAGTTGCCAGGTTCAGGGTTTGGGGTTTGGGGTTTAACTCGGGGTTTTTGCTGAAGGTTTAGGAGTTGGTTTCAGGGTTTTGGGGTGAGGGGCTTGGTTGTAGGGCTTTTGGGGGAGAGGTGCTTATCTTCTATGGCCTGCAGCAGAGGGTAGATGCGCCGCTGTAACTCTGACATCGATACCCTTACCCCTGAACTGGGAGTCCCCCCAAGCCGCAGCCCTAAACTCTCAACCTCTCCTACACCCTGAACCCTAGAACCCTATCTACCTTAGAACCCTGAACCCTAAACCCTATCAACCCTCGAACCCTAAACCCTAAACCTCAGACCCTGAACCCTAAACCCTAAACCCCATCAACCCTAAACCCTAAACCCTGAACCCTAAACCCTAAAGCCCAGACTTCCCAAGAACTCTCAGGCTCCGTCTGCGCTGCTGCTCTCCAGGCTCTGCTGAAGGGTATCCAGGCCTCAGTCATCCAGGGTTTAGGGCTTAGGGTTGGTTTAGGGTTTAGGGTTTAGGGTTTAGGGTTTAGGGTTTAGGGTTTAGGGTTTAGGGTTTAGGGTTTAGGGTCTAGGGTTTAGGGTTTAGGGTTTAGGGTTTACGGTTTGGGGGTTTACGGTTTAAGGTTTAGGGTTTAAGGTGTAGGCTTTAGGGTTTAGTGTTTAGGGCCAAGATGCGCATCAGGCATTCGGATGTGTCAGGGCTATGGGAGATCGGGGGAGGGGGGGTTCGGCTTGTAGGGTTGGGTTCATGCAGATGAGAAGGGCTTTGAAACAGCCCTGTGTTTGTACTTTTGTCTTCCTTGAATACCATTCATTGCATTCATATTTAGATGTAAGAACAGGGGTCGGAATATTTACTAACAGTATTCCCTTATGGTCACTTCATAAGCATGCTACAAGAACCCCCCCCCCCCCCCAAAAAAAAAAAAAAAAACCCACACACACAAAAACTTTTCTAATTTTTTAGGCCCCTAGAGTAGTTCAGTAGTTTGATTCGGGGGCTCTTGTTGGGGGAGGTGCGCAGTTGACACGTGCCCTTGCTAGGGCTGCTCGCGCTCAGACATGGTCCCTTAGTACGGGCCCACAAAAGGGGAACCCCTAACATACCCCTCGTATACCCTGCACAACTTAAGGGGCCCGCACGTCAGAACAGTTTAAAGGAGGTAAAGGACCGTATTCAGGGCCCATGTAAAAACCCTAAACCCTAAACCCTGAACCCTAAACCCTAAGAATCCCTTAAAGGGGATCAGATTAAGGGCCCATATAGCCACCCTTAAATCTCAGATAGTGCCAGAGCCCCAGAAAGTCAGTCTCCTGCGCCCATCGGTGGTCCGAAGATTTCTCTGCATCTCTCGTGCGGCCTGGGCGCAACGATTAAGGGTTGGGCTTTCAACCCTAGACCCTAAACCCTAAACCACTTAGGGTTTAGGGGCTTGAGGCTTCAAGGCTTCAGGCTTCAGCATTGAGAACACGCTGTTTGGCTACAAGTATTCTGACAGCAGTGCCCTCAGAAAAAAAGCGACTGGTAGGCCAACGTCCAGAGATTCCAGTATCCCACAAGTAGAGGATGATCCGCAAACGCAATCAGAACCTACATGTAGTGTAAGGAATGCTTCCAAGGGGTATTGGCCTGTGAATGCAAGCGGCAAGCCAACACCCTAAACCCTAAACCCTAAACCCTAAAACCTAAACCCTAAACCCTAAACCCTAAGCCCGGTGTTAAGACATGCCCCAGATGTCATATGTGGGTCCTGGCCGGTGTCTTTTGTCACCGCGCGTCTTGCAGCTGTGAGAAATGGCAGTCCGGCTCCCTGTTTCAGGGTAGGGTTTGGGGTGTTTAGGGTTTAGGGTTTAGGGTTTAGGATTCAGGGTTTAGGGGTATAGGGGTTTGTGGCACAACCGGGCATTCCCCTTTGTTTCCTTTTTCTACTACAGCAACACTTTAAGTCTTCTGTTTTATTGAGGCATGGGGCTTAGGCCTTAGGATCCATCACCAGGAAGCCCTTCATGCTCTACTTGATATCATTAGGATCCATCCAAGGCTTGGCGTCTCAAAGCAAGGGGTTCAGGGTTGAGGGCCCTAAAGGCGACTGTGCAGAAATCCGGCGGGTTCTTAGTCGGGAATGAGGGAATGAGGTACCCTATGTAATTCCTTAAAGGGTCTATACATATATACATATATATATATATGTGGATATACATATATATATATATACTAATTCCCTCATTCCCTACTAAGAACAAGGCTGACCCGTGAGCCCGGCGTCAATCGCGGCTCGGTGTAAGATGCTCGGAGCACAGGGAGCACACGTAGCCGCAGAGGAAGCCCGCGATGAAGGCGACGGAGTTGCGCTGCGTCGGCGCTTGCTTCAGCACGATCCTTAGGACGCAGGTGGCGACTGAACCTGGGGACCCCTGTATGGGTGTAGGTTTTGGGGCTTAGGGACACTCTAGGCCCAGAGCAGCAAGCTCCCGGGGTTCGCTACGTTGATCCTGTGACTTCTTGGGCCCTTGAAGAAGTCCCTCACAACCATCAAAAAAGGGGATTACTCCTAGAAAATGCCCTTGTGCAGTCCCCAAGGCCTCTACCTTTCCCGTAAACCCCGAAACCCTGAACCCCAAACCTTAAACCCTAAACACCCTAACCCCTAACCCCTAACCCCTAACCCCTAACCCCTAAACCCTAAACCCTAAACTCTCTCTCTCTCTCTCTCTCTCTCTCGCTGCCCGAGCATCACCTGCCCCGGCCACAGCACGGCACTCGAAGGGATGCCATCGGCTCTGGCAGGAGCTTCGGCTGAAGAGCCGTAGCCGATGATCTAGGCGTTTAGGGTTTAGGGTTGTTAGGGTTGGGTTAGGGTTTAGGGTTTAGGGTTTAGGGTTTAGGGTTTAGGGTTTAGGGTTTAGGGTTTAGGGTTTAGGGTTTAGGGTTTAGGGTTTAGGGGTTTGGGGGTTTGGGGTTTGGGGTTTAATGGTTTAGAGTTCAGGGTTTAGGGTTTAGTTTTGGGGGTTCCGATAATAAGGATTATACCATTTGAGAGTGTATGAAGGGTTCCCCTACTGGAAGAAATGCCCATCTCAGTTCGAGGGGCTGTAAGACTTCTACGGGTACTTATAAATGGGGTCTAGGGCTTAGGGTTTAAGGGTTTTGGGTTGAGAGTTGAGGGTTTAGGGTTGAGGGTGAAGGTTCACAGGCACTTAGAAGTAGGGTTGTACGTACCCTGAATAAGGCTATATCCATGGTTACCCTACTTTGAACCCTGAGAACTACCCGCGAACCTCCAAGTAAACCTACTTGTTCTTAGTAGCGTTTGGATTACGAAGGGTACGCATTGTGGGCGTCCACGGCCACCACTCATTGACATGCCCCCCAGACCCTACCCTCTACCCACAAATGGCCACTTATTGGCACTCGCCTCAACCACAAGTCTGCCTCAAACCGGATCCTTTGGCAGACTTGTGGCTGGAGCTAGAGCCACACCAAATTGTTCTTCCCCCTCCCCGGCCCATGCTCGCCCTTGCTCACTACTTTTGGGGGAAGTGGGAGAGGTGGAGGAAGGGCTGGTGGGCAAGCGGGGCGAGTGGGGCAATATGGCAGAACACAATTAGCAGTGCAGGTTTTCATCGCCCACTGAGGGGGCCGCCTTAGACCCCCAAAAAGGGACCATATTTTGAAGAAGTGACCATGTGAGCACATGACCTAAACCCGAAACCCTGAACTCAAGAGTCTACCTGCCTACCCCCCCCCCCCCCCCCCCCCCCCCCGTTACTTGCGGGTACCTTGAATGAAATCGGTACACCTAGGGCCCTTACTAAGAGTCATTTCTTGGGAGAGAGGGGGGGGGAGGCCCTGCCATTTTGAGTTTTGGTTTGGGAGTTTGAGGTTTCGGGTTTAGGGTTCAGTTAGGGTTTAGCCCAAGAAGCTGCGAGCTGGCAAATGCCCTCTCTGGGAGTGAAGAGGTGCCCGGCAACCGGCGCACCTGTGCCAGGACTGCTACGTTGAAAGGAGGGTTTAGGGTTTAGGGTTTGGGGTTTGGGGTTTAGGGATAGGGGTGTAGGGTCTAGGGTTCAGCAGCTCCGGATCGAGCAGTTTTGTAGTACAGTTCTATTTACGGCTCTGATATGACACCCACCCACCCAGAGAACCCCAGAACATTGAGAAACTACCAAGTATTAGAATCGTACTAACCCTAAACCCTAAACCCTATACCCTAAACCCTAAACCCTACAAAGTTCTACAGCTTCAAGCTGCTCATGGCTCATACCCGGTCGTTTTAGCTGTACCTTGCAAATCTAAGTCAACTCTCAGCTTGCAGGGCCTAGACTTGCAATGAATGGGCACAAAAAAACACGGACTTTATTAGCCTCATTTTCTTGCCGAGCCGATCCGTTGCGAGACCTTTTTTGGGCCTCTTTTTCGGGCTTGGGTGAGAGGACTGCAGGAGCCGATCTGTTGCAGGACTTTTGTTGGGCCTGTTTTCTTTTAAACTCGGACAATCCCCTGCCCACCCTTGTACAAGACTCGACGAATTGCCTTGCCCACGGCTCAAAGCCAAACCCTAAACCCTAAAACCCCTAACCCTAAACCCTAAACCCCTAAACCCCTAAACCCCTAAACCCTAAAAAGGGCCTTGAACCAAGGCCATGCCAAAAAATCGCGGCTCAAGGCCAAAAACTTGCCTTTGAACCACGAAGGATTGGCCTTGAACCACGGTTCAAGGCCAAACCATCGTGGCTCAAGGCCCAACACTTGCCTTAAACCACGAAGGAGTGGCCTTGGACCACGAACGATTTGCCTTGAACCACGAATGCTTGGCCTTGAACCGCGAAGTAGATTCATATAACATCCGAGAGAGGTTTTGGGTTTAGGGCTTAGGGGTTAGGGTAGAGGCTTAGAAGTTAGAGCGTAGGGCTTAAGGCTTAGTTTCTCGGGTAGAGTTTTAGATAGGGTCTCTGGGATGTGAGGTCTACCTGGTCCCTTTCAGGGGTCTCCAGTCCAAAGAAACCTTGCTTGCGAAACCCGAAACCCTAAACCCTAAACCCTAAACCCCAAACCCCAAACCTTAAACCCTAAACCCTAATCCCCACTTGCAACGACAGCTCGCGGCACCCAGGAACTCCACGTTCTCGTTGTTGGCAACGTACTCTGCAATCTCCTGCATGCATTGGCCAGCACCACCGAAACTTGCATGCTGCTGCAAGACTTGGAGATTGAAAAGGGTTGAAAGTACTTGTAATCAAGTAAGGTTCAGGGTTTAGGGTACTCATAAGTAGAGTAATAACCAGGGTAACTATGGCTATGACCTTCGATTTCGGTACGTACAACACTACGTACATGTACCCATGAGACTTCAACTAAACGAACATGCACCCCATACAGTTACAAGCCCTAAACACCTTCAAACCTGAGCCACCCGTCTCACGCAGCTAGGGTTGAGGGTTAAGGGTTTGGGGTCAAGGGTTTAGAAGTATGAAATAAGGAAACCTGGATAAGAAAAAACAAGAGAAACACACAAGGAACAGACCACACTAAACACCGCCGAATAGGAGCACAGTAACATAAAGGAACATAAGGAAGACATTGAAGACTCCAGACCACCAAGACAGAGCCTGCTTGCAGCTTCATGGGCACTTATAAGTAGGATTCTACGTACCCCCGTAAAGAGGTTTGTAACCAAAGTTACCCCACTTATAACCCTACTTACAAGTACCCTAAACCCTAAACCCTGAACCCCAACTTATAAGTACCCTTCTGAACCTCCTAAGAGTCCCGAGCTAAACCTGGGCTGGCCAGTAGCCTAGGCTTGAAAAGGGTGGCCCTTTTTTTGCTTAAAAGGGCTTTATAAGGGGACCTAACCCCCCCCCCCCCCCCCAAAAAAAAAAAAAAAAAAAAAAAAAAAAAGGGAATAAGGGCACTACTGGGCATCCTAGAAACAAAGGTAGAAAGCTCCTTGAAGCTGGCGTGCTCATGCCCGCCAACCTCAGGCACGTGAACACGGCTTCAGGGTTTAGGGTTTAGGGCTAGGGTTTAGGGTTTAGGGTTCAGGGTTCAGGGTTTAGGGTTTAGGGTTCGGGGTTTGGGGTTTGGGGTTTAGGGTATTTACGGGGTGTACAGACCCGCATGACCACAGAAGCAAACCCTAAACCCCACAGATCCTAGTATAAATCCCCCTCCCCAGCTCTATATAACCATAAACCCAACACCCCAGGCCCTAAACTCCCCCCCTTTCACCCCCCCCCCCCCGAAGTCCCCAAACCCTAAAACTGCCTCGACTATTTGCTTGAGAACCCACCCCCCCCCCCTCCCAAAAAAATATAAAAATATATATGTATATATATATATGTATATGTATATATATATATATATATACATATACAAGAAGAAGAATAACAATAATCATGATCTTCATTGTGCCCCTTATAAGGAAGAATATCTTGCTTGGGGTGGGGTCTTGAGCGCCTGCTAGCCCTAAAACTCCCCAACAGAAAAACTCCCCCTAACAACTCCCCAGCAACTCCCTAAAACCCCTAAACACTTGCCTAAGACTCCCCTAAAACTCCCTTAAAAAACTCCCCAAATTCCGGCAGTTCCCCTAAACCCTAAACCCTAAACCCCAAACCCTAAACCCTAAACCCTAAACCCTAAACCCTAAACCCTAAACTCTAAACCCCCTGAAGACCCTGGCCTTGCGGGCGTCGATGAGCAGCAGGCTTGGGCAGTTCAGGGAACCGAGGAGCGACGGGGAGAAGCCGCTGTCGGAGGTCCAGCCGACCGAGAGGCTGCCTTGGGGGGTTAGGGTTTAGGGTTTAGGGGTTTAGGGGTTTAAGGTTAAGGGTTGAAGGGTTTAGGGGTTTAGGGGTTTAAGGGTTTAGGGTTGAGGTCTATTTGGGCTTTTTCTTGGGGGGGGGGGGTTTGGAGTGTTTTAGGGTATTGGGTTTTTTGGGCTTTTAGGGTTCTACTAGGACACTTCTAAAGGAGCTGGCCGCTCACTCGCAGAGCAAAGAGCAACACATCCAGAGGCTCCGGCCAATGTCCAGCCGGGCGCCGAAGCAGAGTTCGCTGTGCTGTGCCCGGTGGGTGGTGAGGTGCACCAGCCCCGCCTCGCGGGAGCCAGGGAATTGACATCCTACCTGACTACTGCATGTAGCGAGAGAGGGCGAGAGACACAGAGAGAATGAGAGAGAGAGAGAGAGAGAGAGAGAGCTAGAGAGCGAGGGAAGGAGGGAGGAGAGACAGAGGATGGAGTTGGGCCCAAACAAGACCCCCAAGCTTTAAGACACCATTCCGTAAAGCCGACTTGGCACATTTGCGCGCTGCTTAGGAAGGCCACGCCTCGCTTTGGATGCCCACCCGAAACCCTTCCGGCGCCGGGACCCAGGTCGCAAACCTGGGTTCTCCAATGGTGGGTGTTTAGGGCCTGCAGGGCTTTTCGGGTTTATAGGGCATAGCGAACATGACAAGGAAACCCTTGTTCGTTTGAATGTGGATTTTGGGTTAAACGATTTTGGGGCTTTAAGGGCTTCTTGGGGTTCAGGTGTTTGGGTGAAGCGATGCTTGGGTCTCAAGGGTTTGGCGTCTAGGGATAAGGAAGGGATTCTGACCCTAAAAAATGGGATACTTGGAGGTTCATGGGTACGTATAAGTAGGGTGTTATCAAGTAGAGCAACTATTGGTATAGCCTTATTTAGGGTACTTATTACCATGAACCTTCAAGTAAGCCCCTAAACCCTAAAACCTAAACCCTGAACCCTCAACCCTACTTATCACATTCCGTGAACCTTCAAGTAAAAGTTGCCACGGCGGGGTCCCCAAGAAACTCGCTCATGTCGATTCCGGTGCTGAGCAACTCGTGCATCCGATAGACCCGTAGCCTGCCAGGATGCCTAAACCCTAACTGTTGAACTGTAGTACCTGTACATGTTTGGCCATAGCATATCTTGTTGTTCTCCTGACGCTCGTAGGCCCAAAGCACAGTCAGCCTTGAGCATGTCTTTTAAGTATGTATAGTTCTACTGCAGGTGCTGTAGCCTTACCAACCTAGTACTGGATCTTTTGCTGCGTGTAAAGCCTCCGCATTGTGTGAGCCACGGTTGGGGTAGAGACTGGGGAATCTAAGAAGCCACTGGTTTCTGCTGCTCAGCCTGCTGGTTCACACCAGCAGGTTATGAGCCCAACGCTTGGGCAGGGCAACAGCACCACCGGAGTGACTTCATCAGTCTCAGCGGGAGGCGCTGAGACTGATGGGCCACAAACTACGTTTGGGATTGGTGCCCCTTCTGGTTTGGAAGCTGGATCATTTGGGTCAGCTTTGGACGGCGGGGACGTAATCCGACATTCACTGGCTACGGGAAGGGCACGTGGGGATGCAGAGCACAACGCCCATTCGCCGAACAAGCAAGGTGGGGAAAAGGATCCACCTGTTGCTGAACAGAAAACTCCGGGCGGAAGCCTCGGACCCCGAGGCCTAGGCACACCGGATGCGAAGTCGCTTTTTCCAGAGTTTGGGAGTGGATGGCCCAGACTGTCAGAGACATGGAGGAGCTTTGCAAGAGTGTTGACGGCAAGGCATGATGATGAGGCACCGAGTGTCAGTACAAATCTGCTTTCGCCAAGGTTTGGCATGGAAGCGAACCATGCGTGCAGTGACCAAGGGTTCTCCAGAGGAGTGTGGCCTTTGGTTGGTACGGGGGTTAGTCCTAGTGAGGGTTGCCCGCTTCAAGATAGTTTAGGAGGGGTGCAAGCCGACGTGCCGATTGCATCGCTTCCCGGGAGGGATGGCCTTCCAGAGCACGCCACTGTTGTGGCATCAAGTCGTGCCAACTCACCAGCCGTGTGTGCAAATGTGTGCAGTGCAACGCCGGCCGGAAGGTCTGGTGCGATGCAAGGTGCCCAGGTCCAAGGTCCCAATCCAGCAGCCGTGCTGGCAGGAGTCCCAGGTGCACAGGTGCAAGGTGCCCAGGTCCAAGGTCCCAATCCAGCAGCCATGCTGGCAGGACTCCCAGGTGCACAGGCGCAAGGTGCCCAGGTCCAAGGTCCCAATCCAGCCGCCGAGCTGGCAGGACTCTTCGGTGCCACTCAATCTGCGCCAAGCGTGCCCGTTGGTGCAACCAACGGTTTGCAGGAACCGCAGGTTCCATCTTTTACAGGCTCAATGCCACTTCCACCGCAGGCCCAAACCCCTAATCCTTGCTTAAGGGGTTCGGCTGAGTCAGACTTGTTGTCAGGTTTGGTGACTGGTATGAATGTTCAGACTACGTCTTCCGGTGTTGAGGGGGTTTGGACTCCGCAGTCGGTGAAGGGAGTGGGGGTGCAGCAGCCATGTTCACAGCACGTGCCGCCTGCGCCCGCAATCGTCGCGCATGCATTAGGTTCACATGCGCAGCTCATTCCAGGAGGAGCGGTCGCAGGCCACGCAGGTTCTCAGGTTGCTCCATCAGGGTTTCCATCGCAGCAGCCGTTGCTAGAAGCACTCACTGTAGGAGTGTTGCAGCTGCAGGGCCTCCAGGCCCAGCTCACCATGGAAAAGGGCGACAACGAGGTTGTGAAACCTGGTTCCCCAATTCTTCCCTCGCTGGGGCCTCCAGAGCCGGCAAACGGGTCGCTCATTTTCCAGGATTGGTTGGAGCTCATACACAACCCAATGCGTGACCTTTCCAATTCCTCCTATGTTTGGTGGGCACGTGTGTTGCAGGTAAGCAGGGAGGCGTATACCAGGTGGTGTGTTGCAAGTCCGCTGGACAGACTCAGCATTGAGCCTCAGGAACAGGGTTCGGCTTCAGGAAGGTGGGTCAGGGTCAACTCGCGCGCGTGTGGCATGATACTTGAGGCTTTAGACCCCTCAGTAAAAGCCCACATTCTTGCCCACCGCGCTACGGGAGTGGCTGCCTGCCTGCTGTTTCGCCTTTTTACCATGTATCAGCCTGGAGGTGGCGCCGAAAGGTGGCTGGTGCTAAGAAGCCTTCAAAGTCCTTGCCCGATTCAAAACGTACACTCAGGCATCATGGCCTTGAGGGATTGGGGTAGGTGGCATCGGAGATGCGTCGAGTGCGGCATGATGGTCCCGGATCCCATGGTTTTAGCCAGAGCTCTTACGGAAATGACCCGTGGAGTGTTGGATGGGCATTCTGATGCAGCGTTTCGTATGCAATGCGCGCGTGCCGTGTTGCGCATCGACCAACATCCCTCGGGAGAGGAGGTCCTCACTTATCATCGTCATTTGCTGGCAGAGTTTGAAACTTTGGCACTGGCGCAGCCAGAGGTTTCAGGTGGCAGGGTAGCTGAGATTTCCAACTCAGGTGAGCAGGCCAATAAAAGTCATAGCGTCACCCAAAACGAAAAGCCGCGTTTGCCTACCAGGAAATTGTGCAAATTCTTCGTGTTGTCGCGTGGTTGCCGGAAGGGTTCACACTGTGAGTACGCTCATGATCTGAGTGTGTTTTCCGCTCAGGACAAGGCCAACAGGTGTTGGAAATGCGGTTCCAAAGAACATCACCGCAAGGACTGTCGGGCAGGAAGGGTGAACGAAGCAAGCCCCCAACTCCAGCCTCAGGTTCAGGAGGAGCTGGCAGCGCAGGATGCAACCAACTCCACGCAGGCCACAGGTCCAGGAGGAGACACGCGCAGGAGCGAAGCCGCTCCCCAGACCCCAGTTTTCGAGCCGAGAATGGGGGTCTGGGAAGAGGTCCAGAGGGGCCATCGTCAGGATGCTGGCCAGGTGTTGCCCAAGCTTTTTGGGGAGTTGGTGAAGACCTGCTGTGATGCTAGCAGACGTCAGGAATCGCCTCAGACTCCAAACCCCATTCCTCAAATGCGCTCACTTCATGTTCATGCTCAGGCACTGGCGTTGGTAGACTCAGGTGCCACGCATCCCCTGAGACAGACTGGCGCTCAGGAGGAATGGGATACTGCGGTTGAGGTGGATGTGAGCTTGGGTGGCAACGTGCATGCGCTCGCGCGTCTCACATGCAATGGCACTCTGCTCACACCACCCGGAAGGGAAGGAACCCAAACAATCATACCCATGGGTGCAGTGATCAGTCGCTTGGGGTTTAGGCTTAGTTGGGTGAGCGATGCCGATTGTGCATTTCACCACCCTGACGGGCAGGTCATTCCGCTTGTGATTCGCTGCGGCTGCCCTTACATGTGTAAACACGTCGCGCTTGAGTTGATTGCCCAGTTGGAGGCCGATGTGCGGCATGAGGGTGCCAATGCAGACGGAACCCCACAGGTGGGCCTGTGCGGGAGCAGCGAAGCAACGTCCTTGTTGGCCCGAAATGTGGAGCCAAGGAGCCGCAAGCTCAAACTGCCCCCACAACATCAACCAAGGTGCAACGCATCAAAGAGCGACAAACCACATGCGACCAGTGTTTGTGTAGCCGCTTCAAGGTTGAGGCTGGGCTCGGGAAAGGGTTGTGGCAACATTCGTGCGACCAACAGCCCACATGATAGCCAGTCCATGCTAGTGTGTTTCAAGCTGAACGCGCAAGACAGCGATGACGATGGCGATGCAGACCCCAATCGAGGTGACAGCACGCCTTGCGCGTACGACTTCAGTGATTGGACACACTGTTCCAGCATGCCCGCGTTGTCCAGCCGTCAACTTCTGGACCGACCACGGTTTGTTCACAGACGTGCTCGATCGACTAGACCTTGTGATGTCAACCCCGTGTGTCGCAAATCGTTGGTGCCAGCCTCGGACTTGGACGCTGTGTCCGAATCCGAGCAGAATTTGGCATTTTGTCTTGCATGAGTTTGCCAGGTTTGTTGCTTGTTGAGCTTTTGTGCAGTTCGTTGAGCCCAGCAAGACAACTCCGCCCTGGCGGGCAGGACTTGCCAAACTAAGTCCCTGCCAATTTGCTTTCTTCTGCAAGAGGTGCCTTGAGAGCCCACTCTGAGGCCAGCCGGCCAGCTGTAGTCCTTCCTTTTGGGGAGTCTGTACCTCCTCCCGGAAGGGATGGACATGTACAGGTTTCTGTTTGTCGCTTCCTCCTGGCGAAGGAGCGAAGGAGGAGTGTTGAACTGTAGTACCTGTACATGTTTGGCCATAGCATATCTTGTTGTTCTCCTGACGCTCGTAGGCCCAAAGCACAGTCAGCCTTGAGCATGTCTTTTAAGTATGTATAGTTCTACTGCAGGTGCTGTAGCCTTACCAACCTAGTACTGGATCTTTTGCTGCGTGTAAAACCTCCGCATTGTGTGAGCCATGGTTGGGGTGGGGAATCTAAGAAGCCACTGGTTTCTGCTGCTCAGCCTGCTGGTTCACACCAGCACTAACCCTAAACCCTAAGCCCGAAGCCCTAAACCCTAAACCCTAAACCCTAAGCCTTGGAGGTAAGGCAGGGGACAGAGGGCAGAGGCAGGGCAGAGGAGGAGTCGCTAACAAAACTAGCGCCTCGCAGCACACCTGCCTTAGGCGTGCCGGGTTTAGGGCTTAGGGCCTTAGGGCCTTAGGGGCTTAGGGGCTTAGGGGCTTAGGGGCTTAGGGGCTTAGGGCCTTAGGAGCTTAAGGTGTAGGGCTTAGGGGCTTAGGGTGTAGGGTTTAGGGTTTAGGGGAGCCCTGGCCTACACAGCAAACAGTAAACCCTGCAAGCCAGAATACGCCAATCTAGGATGGGCCAAGAAAAGCCCTCTGACAAATCATTCCCAAAGTGATCCCCTGAAACCCACTACTTGGAGGTTCATGGGTACTTAGAAGTAGGGTTGTAAGTAGGGTAACTATGGTTATAGCCATATTTAGGGTACTTGTATCCCTACTCATAAATAAGTTGCCATGAACCTGCAAGCAGGGGGACATGTAAAGAAATCCCACGGGCTGACCTAGAAATCGGGATGCTAGTCCTAAGCCCTAAACCCTAAACCCCAAACCCTAAACCCTAGTGAGTTACCAGTACTGCTGGGCCTGGCTAACACTTCGGGCTCGGCGATGACGCTCATCGGCCGGCGCTTCTGCAGTCCTCGCGCTGGGTTAAGGTTGGGATGTTCCCCCCTTCTACTTAGGGTTTAGGGTTTAGGGTTTAGGGTTTAGAGGCTGCCAAGAAGAAGGGCCAAACTCAAAAGATGTATAACTGAACGCTCATGGCATTGCGGAATTGTACCTACAACCTTAGCACCCTCAATTCTCCCCTGAACACCAAACCTCTCCACCCTCCTTGTCTAAATCCTCTAAACCCCCTAAAACGCCCCCAAAAGAGGACCTCTCAAAACGGCAAGGCCCCCCCAAAACCCGGCCAAGAGCTCCGACCTTCGACTGCCAGCACGACCGGCAGCTCACCCGCGTGGTCGCTGTGGTTGTGGCTGATGAAAATCGTGGACGGGATCTCTCCTGCGGGTGGACTTACTTGAAGGTCCATGGTAACTTAGAAGTCGGGTTATAAGTACGCTAAATAATGGCGTTATAAGTACGCTAACTATGGCTATAACATGTTATAACCACAGTGACCCTACTTGTACCCGGCCCTTACTGATAAGTGTCAAGGAACCTCCAAGTAAGGCTTGAGAGTCGAAGCCTGTTGTGGCTTCAAGACGAAGGTCTCAATTTGCAGGTCACGCCCGTTGAACAGAAGTTGAACAGACGTCCTTCAACAAAAACGATGCGGCATTCTGGGACGAGCAAGTCCAGCACTGGAGAAGGTGCCCTAGCAATATCCCTAAACCCTAAACCCTAAACCCTAAACCCCTAAACCCCTAAACCCTAAACCCTAAACCCTAAACCCTAAACCCTAAACCCTAACATGCACTACGCTTTTCGGCCGTGCTCCGCGAACGCGGTGAAAAGTACCTGCCCGGGAGGCTCCGGCACAGGCTTCGTGGGTGCCCCCTCAACACCCAGACCGCCCAGGCCGAAGAACATACAAACATTGCAAGATGCTAGAAGCGTTGCTATCCCCCAGACCCCTTTAAACACCATCCTAGCCACCCTGTAAGCCAGACACCCCAAACCCTAAACCCGAACACCCTAACCCTCTAACACCGTAACACCCCAACACCCCAACACCCTAAACCCTAAACCCTCCCCTCCCTACTTGTGCAGTGGGGTCCTAGGTATCGGAGGGCTTGTTTGCACACGCCGAGGCCCAGGTCGGCAAGGAAGAATGGTCTCCTGCGTCGGCTGTGCCATGCTTGGCTTAGGGTTTACGGTTTAGGGTTTAAGGGTTTAAGGGTTTAAGGGTTAAGGGTTAAGGGTTCAGGGTTTAGGGTTTGGGGGTTTAGGGTTTTGGGTTCTGGATTTTGGGATTTGGGTTTTGGGTTTAGGGGGCTTTTTCAGCCGAGGTTTGGGCTAAAGAGTTGGCTTCGTGGACGATTTCCTGTATGTTAGGTCGTCCAGAGTCTGATTTCCCGTTTTGAGCCGGGTCGTAATTACGGAAAGGGCTGTTTACAGTGCAAGTTGCTTCCGGAAAAATCGAAAAAGTTGGTGTCTAGCGATCTTGTTGCAAGCTGAGGCTCAGGTTCAAGAAGAAGCCCAGAAGACCCCCCGGAAAGGACCAGAGGAGGCCCCCCGCCATTAGAGGCCCACACCCCCTAGCCTTCATGATGAGGACCCCGGTCCCACAAGACTGTTGTTCAGACCCAGCGCCGGAGCGGGGGGTAGGGGTAGGGGAGGGAGGGGGGTGCTGTTCACTGGGCATTTCAAGCGGATTGGAGATGGGCTCGAGCGCCCACTGAGCGCGGGTAGGAAGGCGTTAATTGAAAAAGAGGGGGGGGGGGTCCCTGTTTGTGTTTTTGGTAGAAGGGGACTCATCGTAGTTGAGGGTACCTAAACTTTCTGCACATAGACTCATCTATCTCGAACCAAACCATCAAGCCTACAGAATTAGAGAAGCACCCTCGAAAGCCCCAAGCCCTACAACACTAAACCCTAAACCCTAAACCCTAAACCCTAAACCCTAAACCCTAAACCCTAAACCCTAAACCCTAAACCCTAAACCCTAAACCCTAAACCCTAAACCCTAAACCCTAAACCCTAAACCTGTCCTGTCGTAGGCCAAAGCCCACGAGCTGCTACACTCGCCGTCATAGACGGCCGTGCGGCCCGCCCCCGTCCCCAGGCAATGGAGAGTGAGCGCCATCAGGGTTTAGGGTTTAGGGTTTAGGGTTTAGGGTTTAGGGGGTTTGTGGGCCGTGGGCTTTGAGGTGCAGGATGACTAAGCAGTTGCTAGGCATCGGGTGCTTGGGTGTAGGCTTTAGTTTCCTTAGAGTTTGTGGGGGGGACTGGGGTGCAGTTTGCGGGGAGCTCTTGGGGCGTATGGTCTAGTACAAGCCTTGCTTCCGGGCCGCGAAGGGCTTACAGCGCTTGCAGGGCCAAATGTCGGGTCTGAGAGTGCTGGCTCCAGAGGGATCTGAGGGCCGGATTTTGGTGTCAAGAAAGGCAGCGACGCAAGTGAAGTGCATTGTCAGTCAGGATGCAGCCCTTGCTGCCTATCGGCTTTCCATGTAGCATAGCTTACCCCCCCCCCCCCCCCCACACACACACACACACACACACGGGCATCTCTAACACCCTGACACCCAAACACCCTAACCCTAAACCCTAAACCCCTAAACCCCTAACCCCTAAACCCTAAACCCTAAACCCTAAACCCTTGAAGGTCTGTGTGAGGCGAACTCAGGCCATGGCGGTGTCGACGGATGCTTGTGCCGTGGCCCGATCGCGCCTAACCAGAGCGGCTCATAGAGCCGGGCTGGAAACTGCTCTCTAGGGTTTAGGATTTAGGGTTCAGGGTTTAGGGTTCAGGGTTTAGGGTTCGGGTTTAGGGTCTAGGGCTTAGGGATAAATATGCCCGAATATACTCGTGCCCGAAAGCTACCATAGAGGCACCCCTTTAAAGCCTAGGGATGTGTAGGATTCTTAGCTTGCACATGTTTATGTATATATGTATATATATATATATGTACGTATATACGTATATGTGTATATACGTATATACATATAATAGAAATACACAGTGAATTTGTCATCGATAATGGAGCGGAGACCTGAAAGGGCACCAGTTTATGGGATCCCTGGCTACCAACACAAAGTTGTAAAGCCCAAGGAAGTCTCAATCTCCTAAACCAAACCTTAAGGGTTTAGGGTTTAGGGTTTAGGGTTTAGGAAAGCCTAAAGCCTAACCCCTAAACCCTAACGCCTCTGCTAAGGCAACGACACTACCTCCGCCTGAAGCTCGGCAAGGGAAGTGGCCAGCGACTTGTAGTCGGTGACAGTGCCTCGTGACTTGTGGGGTTTAGGGTTTAGGGTTTAGGGTTTAGGGTTTAGGGTTTAGGGTTTAGGGTTTAGGGTTTAGGGTTTAGGGTTTAGGGTTTAGGGTTTAGGGTTTGTAAGGCCCGACGCCAGTGGACGGCAGCACACGCCCCCTCCCTAAACCCCCATAATAGAGCGGTTGAGTCGATTCTTTGGCCCGCGCAGCGCAGAGCAATCGCGGAATCCGAGTTCACGTGGCGCTCCTGAATTCTAAGGGCTGTGCCTTGGGCCCTTGAGGTTTCGGGTTTAGGGTCTAGGGTTGGGGTTTAGCGCCTAAGGTGCTATAAGGGCCATATAGATTAGGAGGGTTTTTGAGGTTTTAGGGCTGGAGGGCTTTTAGGTTGGGTTCTAGGATGTTGGGATTTAGGGCCCTTAGGGCTTTTAGGTGTAGGGTTTTTGTTGGGTGGAAGGTGCTGGGTTGAGGTTTGTTGTCTAGGGTTTAGGGTTGCTGGGTTCAGGGCTTGAGGGTCTTGGATTTGCCTCTCATCCCTTGTCAGATAAAGGCCGGCGGCCTGGAACGCGCTCGACCCGAACAAAGCCTCAAACCCTAAACCTTGCTTTTCCCTTTAGCTGCCCTTTCATCTCCTCCATCTCCATATAATGTTGAGCATATGGGCATAGGTGTTTAGGTTCAGGGTTTGGGCTATACACACAAGATGCCCTTGCGGCCCTTGCAACCCCTGAACCGACGCCTGCCAAAGCAGACAGTGCAAACCTCAGATTGTTGGTCTGGACCGAAGAGTCGCCTACGAATGAAAAGGGTGCCCTTTTTGGTTAAGGGAGCCGAAACCCAAACGCAGGCAATAAGGGCCTACTCTGGGTCCTAGTTTGCTACTGTAAGGCACTAGCTGCTAAGACTCCACAAGCCCGAAGCCCTAGAAACCCTAAACCCTAAACCCTAAACCCTAAACCCTAAACCCTAAACCCTAAACCCTAAACCCTAAACCCCAAACCCTAAACCCTAAACGAACTCGGGCCTCGTGGGCAAGCAGCGAGGTGCTGTGCTGCTCTGCAATGGAGTCCAGGGCATTCAGACGCTCCTGGGAGGCGCCCTACTTTGCTTGGGGTTTAGGGTTTAGGGTTTAGGGTTTAGGGTTTAGGGTTTAGGGTTTATTTAGAGGGTTAGGGGTTTAGGGTTTAGGGGTTTAGGGGTTTAGGGTTTAGGGTTTAGGGGTTTAGGGTTTAGGGCAGCTGCTGGGAAGCTCGGGGTGTGAGGGGGCCCGGGGAAGGGGAGGGGGCGGAAAGGGCGGAAGGGTGTTCCAGAGGTTTTAGGAAATTGGCTTGGTATAATGAGGGCACCCTTTTTTGGGTTGGCTACTCAAAAAAGGGACCTTGGACCAAACAAAGGGAGAAGGGTGCCGCTGGGCTACCAAGTTACCCTAAACCCGTAGCCTCAACAGCCTCAACCCTAAACCCTAAACCCTAAACCCTAAACCCTAAACCCTAAACCCTAAACCCTAAACCAGATAATGAGGGTTGCTCGGGGTCCCTTGGGGGCTTTTGAGGTTACGTGCCAGCCGGGAGGCTTCTGAAAACTGATGCCGGCTTGCGCTGATGACAAACGGCCGGTGCGAAGTTGAGGGTTTAGGGTTCTAGGGTTACGGTTTTTTTGGGTTATGGGGTTGCAGGGTTATAGGGTGATAGGGTTATAGGGTTATATGGTTGTAGGGTTATCGGGTTATAGGGTTTGGGGTTATAGGTTCGTTCGTAGGGTTGTAAGGTTCTAGGGTTCTCGGGTTTATTGGGCGTTATTGAGGGAGTGATTAAGGGAGTTGTTGGGTTGTAGGGTGATGGGGTTATGGGGGCCTTGGATGCCATGACGTCCTTGCCCAAGGAGCTGATCCACCTCGGTGACTTTTAGATGGGTTTGAGGTTTAGGGCTTCTTTTGTGGCTCAGGGTTGAGTTTTAGGGTTTATGGTTTGGGGGTTTAGGGTTTAGGGATTAGGGTTTAGGGTTTCCTTTGTGGCTCGGGCTGAGTTTTAGGGTTTAGGGTGTAGGGTTTAGGGTTTAGGGTATTTCAACGGCTGCTGGGGCTTGGGAAACATCAGTCGGCGTTGTTAAGTGGGATCCTACTAGTCCGAAGTGCCTGTGTGCTCAGGGTTTAGGGTTTCGGGTTTGGGGTTTAGGGCCTAGGGTTAGGATACTCTCTCCACATCTCTCATTCCTACAGGCCGCAAGTACTGCTCAACCCCCAAAAACCTTGAAACCCCAAAGCCCCAAAACCCTAAACCCCAAAACCCCTAATGCCCAACATCCTGAAAGCCCTGAAACCCTAAACCACAAAACCCCCAACACCCCAAACAGCCCTAAGACGTCGCAGTGCCGCAAGAGCCCTAAACCCTAAGCCCTAAACCCTAAACCCAAAATCCAAAACCCTAAACCCCTAAACCCCAAAAACCCTTTGCAGGCTGAGCCGGCCACGTCTTGGAGAGGTTCTGGAAAGCTTCCAGCTTGCTGTCCAAGCTGGCCTCAAGACAGGTGTAGGGCCGGCCGGGGACCCAGGCCCTACAAACCCTGGGTTTAGGGTTTAGGGTTGGGGGTTGAGGGTGCGGGTTGAGGGTTTTGGGATTAGGGTTTAGGGTTGAGGGCTTGGGGTTGCTAGGCATCAACTGGGCGTCGACGTCGACGCCTTATATCAAGCTTCGGGAGCCTCATTGCAGGGGATCCGTGTCTAAGTCTCTAAGTTTCTCTCTCTCTCTCTCTCTCTGTCTCTCTCTCTCTCTCTCTCTCTCTCTCTCTCTCTCTCTCTCTCTCTCTCTCCACTTTGAGCAACTAGGACACAGCCCACTGTTTGGTTTAAAGGGTTAGGATCCAGGGTTCTAGGGTTTAGGGTTTCGGAGTTTTTGGATTTAGGCCCTGCGAAATGCTTGTGGAAAACCAGAACCTAGGTTGGCGGGGAATTGGGGCTTATGGAGTTTAGGGTTCAGGGCACGGGGGCCCGGCTTGGGGCTAAAGAATTGCGGGAATCATCTATGCCCAGGAGTCACACGAAGACACCTGCAAGTCCTACGATACCCTTGCATAGGGTTTAGGGTTTAGGGTTTAGGGTTTAGGGTTTAGGGTTTAGGGTTCAGGGTATCCCGGACACTCAAAAACCCGAGCAGGTAGGCCCCGCACGCGCATTTGTGACTCCTCGGTGATGTTGCGAGTCAGCAGGCGACGCACGGTCTCCGTTTCCTCCTCCCAACTGAGCCAGGGTTTAGGGTTTAGGGTTTAGGGTTGTATACGTAGGGAGTTCTATGAACAAGCCCAAGATACAGAGCCACGATGTTATGCGAGTCTATTTTTAACAACCCTATGTACCCCTTAAGGACATAGGAACTTTGTTTTTAAAAGCCCCTAAGATTTATACGGCTCAGGCATTCAGCAGGCTACTTTTTGAAAGCCCTATAAATGCCTAACTACATTTTGGGGCTTCTGGTAAGAAAGCCCCAAAGGGTTTATAGGGCTTAGGCATTCAGCTGCAGGTCCTTGCGCACAGTCTGCTCCCGTTCCAGGTCGGAGCGCAGCTGCTTCAACTCATCCTTCATCCCGGCAATGCCTGAGAAAAACCCTGCCTATGTGCTTAGGGTTTTGGCTTTAGGGTTTATTTAGGGTCTGACTGTAGTTCCTTGTTTTGGGCACCTAACTTGTCAGTGAACTCCAGTACGTTTTGGGCAAATCACCTAACTTTTGCCGAGTATCATGTATGCTGAATTCCATGCAAGCACCCAAGAACGAACATAAAACCTTATCACGATACCCTAAACCCTAAACCCGAAACCGTAAACCCCAAACCCAAACCCCAAACCCAAAACCCCAAACCCTAAACCCTGAACCCTGTACCCTGAACCCTAAACCCTAAACCCTAAATCCTAAACCCAAAACCCGAAACCCTAAACCTTGAACCTAAACCATGCCGACCCTTCCCTGCATAATCGGCTTCCTTACTGAGGGCTCCACAGGATTGGATGCCCGTCAGCTCATGCCTAACAAACAGCAGCCACATACAGCAACTAGGGTTTAGGGTTTAGGGCTAGGGTTTAGGGTTTAGGGTTTAGGGTTCAGGGTTTAGGGTTAGGGTTCAGGGTTTAGGGCCGAGGGACTACGGAAAAGACAGCTGGTTCAGCTATGTTCCGTCGCTTCTGCCCCATGCTCTCAACCCTAGAACGGAATCCCCCAACCCTAAACCCTAAACCCTAAACCCGAGACCCTAAACCCTAAACCCTAAACCCTGAAGCCTAAAGCCTAAAGCCTAAAGCCTAAAGCCTAAAGCCTAAAGCCTAAAGCCTAAAGCCTAAAGCCTAGAGCCTAAAGCCTAAACCTCGCGCGCAATAGTCACAAGCTTTAGATGCCCTTGGTCGCTGAGGCGGTCGCAGAGTCTCCCGCACGAATGCAAAACCGCTGGAAGCCTCCTGAGACTTCAAGGGTTAGGGTTTAGGGTGCAGGGTTTTAGGGTTTCGGGTCTGGGGTCTAGGGGTTCGGAGGGCTCTTCATGGGCTCAGGATTCTAGGGGTTTAGGGCTTAGGGGTTTAGGGTCCCGGGCAGGAAGCACCAAACGGAACATTCGTGGGTAACCAGGTTGCCCCCGGCAGCGACTCGCTGCCTTTTCTGCTACGACTTGTCCCGTCGGAGCCGTGGTTCGCACACTGCATCTTTGCATATGTATATGTGCATCTGCGCAAAGGAACCGTAGGTATACATATACATATATATGTATATATATATATGTATATGTATGGACATAGGAAAAGATAAAGAATAGACATCGGAATACAAAGACCGGCAAATCCAGGCACAACTGCTTCAGTGATCAATCGTGGCTGGCGACCTCGGGCGATGGATCTTTGGCTGGCACGGGTACCACGGGAATTCCTCCGTGCAGGTTTGAAGCAGTGCAGAAGCAAGAACTCTTACGTTGACTTGCACATCCAAATTCAATCTAGAATGCCCTGAACCCTAAACCCTAAACCCAAAACCCCAAACCCTAAACGCTAAACCTTAAGCCTTAGCAATCCTTAAAGGGTCAGCAGCATCCACTGCGACATTTGTGACTGTGAATGGATATCCATGCTCCAGCCTTCAGAGTCCTGCATCGCAGACCCAATGAGGCAATCCCTCCACCTTGGTAGCCCCAGTGACCAAAAGATCCGCTTATATATATATATATACCTAGAGGGAATTAAGGGTGCCTATACATATATATATATATATATACAAATATATATATATATATGAGAGAAAAACCTTTCGGGTCTATTTTGCTTCTATGCTTGCTTGTGTATGTGAAAGTGAAAGTAAATAATTTAAATTATTTAAATAATTTAAATAATTTAAATCGAGCCTTTGTAAGGACTTCACCAAGAAATCTAAATATTTAAATTAATTTAAATAATTTAAATAATTTAAATAATTTAAATTATTTAAATACGGCCCTTTAATTTATTTAAATTATTTAAATTGTCAAAAGGGTTTTCGGGGATTTAAATAATTTAAATAATTTAAATCGAGCCTTTGTAAGGACTTCACCAAGAAATCCAAATATTTAAATTAATTTAAATAATTTAAATAATTTAAATAATTTAAATAATTTAATTAGGGCCATTTAATTTATTTAAATTATTTAAATTGTCAGAAGGGTTTTCGGGTATTTAAATAATTTAAATAAATTAAATGGCCCTATTTAAATTATTAAATTATTTAAATTATTTAAATTATTTAAATTAATTTAAATATTGGGGTTTCCTGGGGAAGCTCTCCAGAGGATTTAAATTATTTAAATTATTTAAATTGTCAAAAGGGTTTTCGGGGATTTAAATAATTTAAATAATTTAAATAATTTAAATCGAGCCTTTGTAAGGACTTCACCAGGAAATCCAAATATTTAAATTAATTTAAATAATTTAAATAATTTAAATAATTTAAATAGGGCCATTTAATTTATTTAAATTATTTAAACTGTCAAAAGGGTTTTCGGGGATTTAAATAATTTAAATAAATTAAATGGCCCTATTTAAATTAAATTATTTAAATTATTTAAATTATTTAAATTATTTAAATTATTTAAATTAATTTAAATATTGGGGTTTCCTGGAGAAGCTCTCCAGAGGATTTAAATTATTTAAATTATTTAAATTGTCAAAAGGGTTTTCGGGGATTTAAATAATTTAAATAATTTAAATAATTTAAATCGAGCCTTTGTAAGGACTTCACCAGGAAATCCAAATATTTAAATGAATTTAAATAATTTAAATAATTTAAATAATTTAAATAATTTAAATAATTTAAATAGGGCCATTTAATTTATTTAAATTATTTAAATTGTCAAAAGGGTTTTCGGGGATTTAAATAATTTAAATAAATTAAATGGCCCTATTTAAATTATTTAAATTATTTAAATTATTTAAATTAATTTAAATATTGGGGTTTCCTGGGGAAGCTCTCCAGAGGAATTAAATTATTTAAATTATTTAAATTGTCAAAAGGGTTTTCGGGGATTTAAATAATCTAATAATTTAAATAATTTAAATCGAGCCTTTGTAAGGACTTCACCAGGAAATCCAAATATTTGAATTAATTTAAATAATTTAAATAATTTAAATAATTTAAATTATTTAAATAGGGCCATTTAATTTATTTAAATTATTTAAATTGTCAAAAGGGTTTTCGGGGATTTAAATAATTTAAATAAATTAAATGGCCCTATTTAAATTATTTAAATTATTTAAATTATTTAAATTATTTAAATTATTTAAATTATTTAAATTAATTTAAATATTGGGGTTTCCTGGAGAAGCTCTCCAGAGGATTTAAATTATTTAAATTATTTTATTTAAATTGTCAAAAGGGTTTTCGGGGATTTAAATAATTTAAATAAATTAAATGGCCTTATTTATTTAAATTATTTAAATTAATTTAAATATTAAGGTTTCCTGTGAAAGCTCTCCAAAGGGTTTTAAATTACTTAAATTCTTTGAATTGTGAAAAGCGTTTTCGAGCATTTAAATGATTTAAATAATTTAAATCAAGCCTTTAGAAGAATTTCGCCAGGATATTTTTAATTAATATAATTGTGATAACATTGCATTCCTTAGCCTGAGTTATCATAGTTATGATAACTTTAGGCACCAAGCCGAGTTATCATAATTATGATAACTTCAGGCTCCCCAAGCTGAATTATCATAATTATGATAACTTTAGGCTCCCCAAGCTGAGTTATCATAATTATGATAACTTCAGGCTCCCCAAGCTGAGTTATCATAATTATGATAACTTTAGGCTCCCCAAGCTGAGTTATCATAATTATGATAACTACAGGCTCCCCAAGATGAGTTATCATAATTATGATAACTCTAAGCTCCCCAAGCAGAGTTATCATAATTATGATAACTTTAAGCTCCCAAGTACAATTATCATAATTGTGATAATAACATTTTGAGTTGAAGTTTTCACCGCAAGCGCTAAATCGCAAGCCCTGATGCCTAAGATTTTCGGTTCAAGTTTGCATAAGCATGACTCTGGCAAAATTTGGCCAAATCGAGCTACGCATTTCTCATCGCGTACGACGAGCAGCCCGATTTGGCCAAATTTTGCCGGGCAGCCTTCGGGCAAAATTTGGCCAAATCGAGCTGCTCCTCGTACGCGAGGAGAAATGCGCAGCTCGATTTGGCCAAATTTTGCTTGAAGGCTGCCAGGCAAAATTTGGCCAAATCGAGCTACGCATTTCTCATCGCGTACGACGAGCAGCCCGATTTGGCCAAATTTTGCCGGGCAGCCTTCGGGCAAAATTTGGCCAAATCGAGCTGCTCCTCGTACGCGAGGAGAAATGCGCAGCTCGATTTGGCCAAATTTTGCTTGAAGGCTGCCAGACAAAATTTGGCCAAATCGAGCTACGCATTTCTCATCGCCTACGACGAGCAGCCCGATTTGGCCAAATTTTGCCGGGCAGCCTTCGGGCAAAATTTGGCCAAATCGAGCTGCTCCTCGTACGCGAGGAGAAATGCGCAGCTCGATTTGGCCAAATTTTGCTTGAAGGCTGCCAGGCAAAATTTGGCCAAATCGAGCTACGCATTTCTCATCGCGTACGACGAGCAGCCCGATTTAGCCAAATGTTGCCGGGCAGCCTTCGGGAAAAATTTAGCCAAATCGGGCTGCTCGTCGTACGCGAGGAAAAATGCGCAGCTCGATTTGACCAAATTTTGCTTGAAGGCTGCCAGGCAAAATTTGGCCAAATCGAGCTGCGCATTTCTCATCGCGTACGACGAGCAGCCCGATTTAGCCAAATTTTGCCGGGCAGCCTTTGGGCAAAATTTGGCCAAATCGGACTGCTCGTCGTATCCGATGAGAAATGCGCGGCCTGATTTGGTCAAATCTTGCCCGAAGGCTGCTCTGCGAAATTTAGCCGCAAACTTTTGTTTTGAGGTTTGAAACACACCAGGGTTTACAGAAAACCTTTTGTCGTTCGGGTTGAAGGCATGCAGGGGCTTACAGGAAAAAATGCTTTTTGAGGTTGGATTTAGTCGAGCCGGCCTCCCGAAGGCGAGCCGGGTTCATGATACTGAAACTCAGTCCCGGCCGCCCACAGGCAGGCATCTAAACCTAAGCCGGCAATGAAATCTAAACCGTTAACCTTTAAGCTTATAAACCCGAACCCATAGAACGTAAATCATTGGGAACCTTAAGGGTTTAAGGTTTAGGAATTTAAACATGAACCCTAAACCCTTTAAGGTCAGAACTCTAAAACCCTATAGGGTCTAAAGGGTTCAATGGTTCCAACCCTAAAGGTGCTTTCCTGAAATTTGCTTGGGCTGCAGAAGGGAGCGGTGGGGTCGCACCAGATGTTGACCAGGGGCTCTGCGTCAAAATTTGGTGCGATCCGACCGCCCCGCTTCGCTTCTTTTGCTTGCAGAAAGAAAGGGCGGTCGTATCGCACCAAATTTTGACCAGCAGCTCTGTGTCAACATTTGGTGCGATCGGACCGCCCCTCTTTCCTGCTTTTGCTGTGACTGCAGAAGGGGGGGTCGGATCGCGCCAGATTTTGACCAGGGCTCTGCGTCAGAGTTTGGTTGGTGCGATCCGACCGCCCCTCTTCCTTGAAAATATTTTAATTGGGTTTTCTAAATATATGCATTATTTGAATAACTTAAATCCTGCAAGGCGGGTGGGGGGGGGACTGGCTCCTTCCTTGTGGAAGAATTAATGGTGGTGGTGGTGGTGGCGGTGGTGGTGGTTGTGGTGGTGGTGGTGGTATAGGTGCCTCAGACGCTTGCGACTCCTCTATGCTGCACCTGCATTTCTACACATGTAGATGAGTGTAGTATATGTACTATGGTGTTTACTAATATAGGAGAGTATAGAGTATATACTAGTATATAGTATAGAATCCAGTACAGACAAGATCGAAACATGTATAGTATAGTATATCGTACATTATATTATTGTAAACACTATATAGCCTACACTCTAGTATTGTCTTTACTATAGTGCCCAATATAGAATGTAGTGTTGTATATAGCATCGTATGCAGCATAAAGTCTGGTATATGGCAGTACATAGTCTCAAGATTAAAGTTTGAAGTATATATAGTCTGGAAAGCTTTTAGCCGAACACCATAAAGTCACTAAGCAAACACGTCTGACATCACTGAGTGTTCGAAGAAGCAGTCATTTTAATTATGGAATACCCTGGTGTAGAGAACCCTGTGGCCCCTGCCACATATTAATGAGCCGAACATCATGAAGCCAACAAGCAAACACATATGAAACCAATGAGTGTTTGAAGAACCAATGTTTGTTTCAAGGGGTTTAAAGCAATCAAAAGACGGACAGCCTAGATCTACACTCCACGGCTTTGTCAGAGAAAACAGTACCGCGTAGATCCAGGCGAATTGTGTGACGGATAAAGCCTGCCTGGATCTACGCGCAACAGTTTTTTGGAAAGAAAACAGCACCGCGTAGATCCAGGCAGATTTGGTCCATCGTGGCTTCTCTAAGAATGTGACGGCAAAAGCCTGCCTGGATCTACGCGCCACGGCTTTTTCAAAGAAAACAGTACCGCGTAGATCCAGGCAGATTTTGTCCATTGTGGTTTCTTACAA